TTCTTTACAACACTGGCTTCTTCTGGAGAGCTGATTCTCAAAACAAAGCCGAGCCCTCGTGCCAGATTGAGTAGACTCCGGACTTAAAGTTAGAGCATTGTCTTTCTCAACTACAGGTCGTACTAGTCTTAGGTAACTAGTTTTGGTAGAGCCAATGTTTTGTTAGACTTATTTTACAGGTGGGACTGTTCTAGTATTTTCCTTAGATCCTTGTTACGTGCAGGAAGAGTAACCAAATCAGCGGTATTAAGATCTTTGAACAATCTAAGTTCCAGAATAAACTTCTGATTTTCTCCATTAAAATCAGTGTCATATATTCATATATACGCACAAAGCTGCTCGTGCTTCCTACAAGTCTTTGTAATGCATGAACATGTCCCAGTAAATAGTTGTGAACTTGTGATAGAGCTCAAAATCAGGATCGACTTCATCAGAACACCGCTGACTTTTTTTGGCAGTTAAGCTACTTGCGCATCGAAAGTTCCATAGAAACTGGACTTGCACTAAATATCTAGGGACAAGTCAGAGACGTGCATACCCACTTGGCACGACAACTGGACCACACTAGGCTGTATTGAACTCATCGCAACGTCTTTAACCAGATATTCGTATGTGCAATTGTGATGAACAATTAGGACCGGCTAATTGTATCTAATCAGATTCTTAGGCCACGTGCAATTGGGAGTCTAGAAATTCAGATAACGGCTTGGCTTGCTTCCCCCATTGACACGTCTGAAGGAATCAATGTGGGACTTATGACATGTTATTATGGTCTCGCAAAAGTTTGAGAAACACATTTAAGGCTATGAAATGAGGAATCTCACATTAGTTTCTCAAGCTTTTGAGAAACTTTTTATAAAAATAATAATATAATGGTGAGACAGATTTCAATTGTAATTTGTAGATGCTCTTATTGGTTATAGCTTCAGACGGTTTAGTTAGAGTTTTGGGCCTGAGAGAATATTGATGAATTTGACATTTTGGCCCTGCCTTCCTTCGTTATACTGAGCTATCCGGTGTTCAAATTTTTGGTCCATACGACAACTTGACTGACTTGTCATTGTAAGCAAACAAAGTTTTGGAAGACAGAGAGGTCTTGGATATTGTAGTACATAGTGTGTTTTTTACAATATTAAAGGGGTGATTGGTTGAGTTTTAACTAGTGATTTTAGCTTTATTTTTTATCTATAATCATAGAAATCAACAATTATACTTTAAGTAGTTGCCCAAAAAAATGATGGTAGGAACTTTATTTTCTAAAGAAAAAAAATGCCGTTGTAGGATTATTATAGGAATATATTTTTTTCTTATTTAATTTCTACAACTACAAATTCTACAGACTAATTCTTCTATAAACTTTCTACCGTTATAGTTCAACCAATCGCTCCCTAAATGTCTAATATACTCAAAACAATTGAATCACAAAAACCCACAAAACGATAATAAGACTTGTGATCCACTAACAGTAATAATCCTAGGATACCTGAGTGGAGGAATGATCTCATCATATACTTCATCAGCTGCTGGGAAAACATCACAAATAGATGGAAAGAAAACAGAAGACGGGAAGCCAAGTACATGGGAACTGACACCATTGCGTCATAATAGTGTTATGAATTTATAACCGGTACTTATATTGCAAGTTCGTTGGAACAAAGACGACAAAATGCAGGAGGCTTATCTATTAATCTGGTGGAAATGCTACATATCGATGAGGTCATTAGTAAGTCCTATGATCATATATCTAAGAAAAAAAGGCAAAAAGAACAACTTAAAAGAAATTATTCTTGTCATCGATCTTGGGTTGCAAAGCTTTTAGTTTTGAAAAGAGTCACCGCATCAATAATATCTATTAATTTCCCAATCTTTATTTCTTAATTTCTTATCAATCAATGACGTAAAAGTTAGTATTAGGTCACTGACACGTTAAAATAAAATTTAATTGATTCATCAATATACTCACTGATCCAGTTGATGGATTTAAAGGATCGGGACCGTCCGCATGTATCGAATCAGATTCTTGATAGATATAGAGATAATTTTCCACAAAGATAGATTATATTCTAGTTTTAGTTTCAGACATGATTGAGGATTTAAGAAAGGGTTCTCTGGTTCTTGTAAATCTTGCTAAATACAAAACAAAGTGTTTGATGAACTTGGCAGTTTGGTCCGGTCTGTTGACTTCGATATGCTTGGTGAATCGGTGATACATGTATAAACTATAAAGCTGGTTCGGTGTTCAAATTTTGATCCACATATATGACAACTTTATCAACTCGTCAATAGTCCTCTATTTTCTAATCTAAACTCTATTTTATGATAAAATCTATTTTACTATTTTTAACTTCCAAAATGTTACAACAATGGAATTGTTTTCAAAATAAAGCAATTTACTAGGGAATCTTACTGGGATCAAGATTCACCTTAAGATCAGGACTGAGGCCTAATAGATATATTCGAATCCTAATAAGAGAACTACTATTAGGGTTAGGGGATATAACGGCTTTCACTGTTGTATAATACAGTGTAATATTTTCATTATTCAATACAAGTTTACAATATATTACAGTCTTTCTTTACACAACTATATTCAAGATTCTATGATGAAAAAAAAAATCAAGATTCTATGATGAAAAAAAACAAGATTACTTGAAAATATAGTAGATTTCAAATAAATTCGTCAGTTTTGAAGAGAAAAAATCGAAAATACATGAATGTTCTTATTAAACGGATTCAAAAATCTTCCACTATGAGGGCTTGCATGTACTATACACTAGAGTAGAGAAAAATAGAATAAAACACCAAAAATGTTCTTAGTAAGCAGATTCAAAAGTCTTCCACTACGAGGGCTTCCATGTACTACACTACTACTATATCTTTATGGTATATTTTTATTTTACATTTCGAGATGCCTGATACTATTCAGGGCCGGTCCTGGAATTTCGAGGGCCTAAGGCGATATTTTAACGATCTCCACTAAAAAAAATTAATCGAATTTGAGGGCTTAAAATTTTTTTTTGGGGGCCTATTTACATATATTTTTTTCTAAAAAATTTGGGGGCCGAAGTCGAATGTTTTATTCGGCTTGGCCCAGGACCGGCACTGATACTACTATTATAAATTTATAATCTCCATTACTTTTGGTTCAGTTCAGATATATACGGTTTGAACTACAAATTATAAACCAAAAGAGCAGGTGCAAATCTAAACCTATATTAGATAAGAACTTTTTGTCTATAAATCTAGTTTCTGTAGAGTCGTTATAAGATTATCTAAGTTCATTATATTTTGCTCTTAAAGAAAACATGTGCAGACCCCAAACTGGCTACCAAAAGCAAAACCAACAAAATAAAAGAAAATAAAAACTAATCCATTATGAGGTTGTGATCATCACATGATGATGGGACGAGAACATGTTCGTTTGGGTAACATTTTCCAAAAAGATATCAAGAAATAATGCAAACAGATAACGGTGTTGTAGGTCTTCGTATGATGCGCATAAACAGAAAAATATTTTGAGTGGATATATATCAAAACCGCATATTTGACTTTGGTACACTATCAAGTGTTCGTGGCTTGTTGGTTGTTGAACTCTTTTATTATACTTATTAAATATCTAAGGGGTTAGACGTTTGTGTTCTTTTCAGAAGTATGGTTAGTGGTTAAAAGTTGATTTTATTAGATAAGACGTAATCTGAAGTATCCTCGTAAATAAATTAGTATATCATCGTTAGTGTTAGATAAAACTGAAATCAATAGCTAAACAAGATAAGGTATTTAATTGGTCCAGCAATTCAAGTCAATTAATTGTAATGAAACAAATAGAGTGGCAGTTACAAAAAAAAAAAAAGCAAATAGAGTGGAATTTTAGTGTAGTTGGTTTTGTAACATTTTTTAATGAATTGTATTGGTTCTGGTGTAATGTACGAACTAATTTCTACAGCGCACTTGAAATATAACGTTATTTCAAAAGTTATTTTAGAATTTAAGTATTCAGGGCTTTAGGTCTAAACATCTGTTTGTGTCTTCTATCATGTGAATCATTCGGGCTTAACCCTATAAATTGGTCTACCAAATGTGTAAGTTTCTAGAGTGGATTATAATGATAATCATTTTTTTTTACAAAGATATTATTTTTGTAGGTTGTCTCACATTATCAACATTTTTAAACATTATCAACAATAACTAAGAGGGCCATCTAAAAAACATGGATCGTGTTCAAAATTTTAAAAAGAAATCCAATATATGTGAATAATTTTTTGCCCAAAAAAAAAATATTATGTGAATAATTTTAAGCAAAAGAAATATGTCCTAACTGCTAGCACATGTGAGCATTACCTCTAAATCGGTCATTGCTATTAACGGTATGAATATGTGACAGTAACCAAAAAGAAAATTAGATATTGAATGTGAAAAGAAGTAAGTGTGGTCGATATTTAAATAAAAAAAATAAAAAGTACTGGTCAGTTTCGGAATTAGATGCCTCTTTGAGTCTTCAAAACATCGACAACGTGAATTCAGGTCAAGAAGAAACCCCAAAGCATCGTTTTCTTTAATTCTTTAGATTGTTTCTGTTTGCAAGTAATGAAAATAATAATACTAATAAAGCTCAATTAATATTATTTATCACGGGAAAATGAAATGTGCCTACCACGTAATGAGTTTCCTTTCTAATTGTTAGCAGATGATTCGTTCCATTAAATAAACAAAAAAATAATAATACTCCATATACAAGTAGGTCTAGAAAAATCGATGGAGGGACCAAACACTTCCATGAAGTCAATTTTACAGTACAAGGTCCACAATCTCTAGTTTCTCTCCACCACATGTTTGACAATCTTGTCTCCAAAAGGTCCCACTTTTCCATTTTGTGTAAGAAAATTGAACCAAACTGAATTAGTAAGAGACATGAATCAAATAATCATAAATATATCTCAATAATTTTCTATCTTAATTTCTGAAGGGATCCCTACCGAAATTAAACTAAAAATAAATTGAAAGATATCTTATAAAATCCTCAGATTTCGTAAAAACAATTACAAAAATGATCAGAAGGTTTCGTTTACTATTTCATTAAAATGTTAATGAGTTACAAGACAAGACTGAAGACCCAATGTTATCAAGAAACAAGAAACACTCTTTCAACAAGATCACCACTCCATTATAAATATAACATCTCCCATATATAGGGACTCAAAAGCTATTCTACACGCAAAACGCAGCAGCCACTTTAAGGAAACGCTCAGTGAGTGTTTGAACCTCCTCTTAACCGCTACTGTGCTCCAAACATGGTTATTGTATTGCGACCCCGGGAGAAAAAAAAAAGTAATAAGATATATAAAAACAAATCTACAGTTGAAAATCATCGGTGAGCCATTCTTGAAAAGTAGTTGAAGTCATGGTGTTGGACTCTTAGCTGTTTTAGCCAAGAATCAGCAACACTTAGCAGCGACAGAACTCGTTCTTGATCTTGACCATGATCGTCTTCCCTGAGCCATACATTGCCTTGCATCTTGTAAGTGGCTAACCCGAAAGGAAGCAAAGTTACACCTTCTCCTTCCTTCCGAGCCCTCTCCTTCTCCCCTCCATTCTCTTCTGGCTCCATATCTGTATATCAAGAGACCATAAGGGTTACATTTTTGCCATATATATATGTAACCAATGCCGGTCCTGAGATTTTAGAGACTATATAAGCGAATTAGTATTAAAAAAAATATTTAGGAATTTATATTATATAAAATATTTTAAAAAGTTGGAAGCTATATGTAAATGTTTAAATTTGGATTGAAAGGATTAGTAGTAGTAATACCTTGGAAAGAAGATGAAAGAGTGTGATAAGTGAGAAAACAAGTAGACAAATCTTTGATGGTCCTTCCCATTGGTATATGGTAAATAGGGTACCACGCTACAGCCATCCAACTTGCTGGGGACAAATCTACGCTTCTCAGCGACATCAATCCAGGGTACCTTCGAGCCAACTCATTGATCTGAATCAAAAAAATCAACATGTGTCATCCCAAGTCTAGGTCTTTAAATGATCATATCATCATTATAAGCTGCATTGAAAGTTACCTTATCCATGAGAGGAACTCGAGCATAAGGAGCTGATCTCTCAAAGTGTTGCAAATAAAGATAGCCCAAACGATCATTAGGGTGTAAAATAGCGTCATGCTCAAGCCCTTCATCAGAAGCAGCACTTCTTGAAAGCTTATCACTTTCACTCTCTTCACTATATGAATCACTAAACGAATCTCTCGTCTCACTTTCCCCATACTCAGACTCATCCCTAAGTAACAAACCCATTCCATTATCAAAAGGATCACCAAAGTTTCAAATCTTAAAAGCTCTCAAAGTGGTACCTTAAGCGGATCAAGGAAGAGCGAGAGATGAAGATCTGGATTGCAGAGAGATAAGGAACGTAGTATTGAACAAGAGATTCTCCATTGGTGAGACGAATGGGAACACCAGCTCCATAAGCACTCCACTCGTCGTAACAATCCCATAGATCACTCAATCTGAAAAACTCAACCTTTTCTCTCTCTGATTGATGCCAAATCCGATTCAAACTCCTAATCTCCGTCTGCAAAAAGAAATCACTTTTTTTAATAATAAAATAAAATTATTAAAGAGAGAAGAAAGAAACATAGAAAGTTTCAGACCTTGGGGAGAGATTGGGGTGGCACTACAGGTGTTGTGCAATGAAGGAAGCGATCAAGGTTCGATTTTTTCATTGACCCTTTGTCGAACACCATGATTCCTTTCTCTAGAGGGAGAGAGAGAGAAAGAGAGAGATTGGGTTTCTTGATTCTTGTTTGAAAAAACAGAGAGAAACAGAGAGGGACGAGAGAGAGAGAGAAAGAGATGGGGGGAATTTAAGAGGAAGACACGCAAGCGAGTGTTTGAGTTTTGACGTTAGGACAGCTTAATTTAAGGGCAACGCAATTTACGGACAAGAAATGTTTTTTTTTTCTGTTTTAATTTAAAAAAAAAGAAACGAAATTTGCTGAGTTAACTTGGAGAAGAAATAAAAGTCTTTCTGTGGAGAAAGCTTATTTTGCGGTTGTTTCTATGATCGAAAACTCGAGAAGAGATTAAACAATGTAAAATAGAAGAGAAAGATGCAGACTTGACAAGAAAAGAGAAGACCCAGTTTGTCAAAACAGAGTTTTTTTTTTGTTTGATTGATGAACAAACTTTCTGAGAAAGCTGAAAACTGTTCTCGGAAAAAACAGAGGTTATAGAGATACGAAACAGAGATGGGATGATTATATATAAGGTGAGAAACAGAATATATTTGCTTTCTCTTCAAAAATTCTTTCTTTTGCTTGATCAAAATCTCTCTCTTTTTGGGGTTTTCTTTTCTTTATTTTAATTTTAGAAAATACAGAAAGATTTGTTCCCAAAAAAATACAGAAGGATAAATAAAAATGACTAAGGCAAAAGAAAGAAGAAGGTTCTGAAATTAAGGAGTACACACACCTAATCAAAGATGATCTTAAAAGTTCGACGATTTTCCCCGTCCGATCCTCACGTGGTGGGTTGTGTTTTTTTTTTTTTTTAGTCTCTCAATCTATTGGGTCTGATTGGTAAAATGATTATAATTTTAACTTTTTTTGCTGTAGAAAATTTTTTGTAAAATTTAATTCTACAAAACATTCATATAACTGAACTTTATATTTTATTGCTATAAAATTTTATAAAAAGTCTAAAAAATTATTATGGATATTTAATTCTACAAAACATTCATATAATTGTAGTTTATTTCAAAAGCTGTGATTTTTTTTTTAAAATGATAAAGCTTGATTACTGTGAATTTAGTGTTGTATAAATAAATGGGGTTATAAATAACACCTATCAAAACTACTAATCACATTCTTAAGGCCATCTCGAACAATAAAGTGATTTTTTTTTCACAAATTATATATTTTTCTTAATTATTTATATGAATTTATAAATAATAAATATTAAATTCAAAATTATTAAAAATTGAGGCATGGAGTATACAGATAACTATTTTTATTATTATATAATGGTAAATACTTGTATTATGAGTAAATTAAAATTATATATTTAAGATTATGTGGTGAGTTGGTTTGCCTATGTTTTAGAAATATTCTGTAAATATATTAGATTTTCTTCTAAATAAAATGTATAATGTATTTAAATATAATTAGTTATAATAGAAAATTATTAGTCGAAGTATTAATTATTAGAAAAAAAGAATTAGGTAAATTTCCTGTTTGTTTTAAATGATAAAAATATAATTAATGATGAAATATAGGAGTAATATCTTAATGACAAAATTGGTAATGGAACACTTGAAACAAGATTAAAAAATATTTACAAAATTATTATGCTAAATTTAATTAATTAAGTAGTTAGGAAGAGTAAAAACAATGTAAAATCTGTAATAAATCACTTAAATATGTAAGTTTGTTTTGTACTTATATTTTAATAAGATAGATGTTAAATTTCTTAATTGCCAGTCTGTTAAGGGAAAATTGGCATTGATTTTACGATACACATAACAAATAAAAAAAACACGAATGGTTCATGTCCAATTTGAAAGTATATCAGCAACTAAATGAAAATATATGTACAGATACCTGTATACATTGTTTAACTAGGCTGCCTAACTTGTTAGTCGTTACCATTAGTACTAGTGTGTATAAAGGTCTTCTACTCCTGGCTTCTACCATATCTTTTGGTTGACTATTTCATAATACCATGCTCAATCCAGGAAAAAAATACAAAGAAAATATTTTCTTAAACTGCTATTTATTCAACTTTGCTACAAAGAAAGCATTTGCATCAATACTATTAAAATAGGATCATGCCCTATCGATAAAAATTTAGTCCATTTATTTATTTTTATATATTTCAAAAATCAAATATTAGTCTTTAATAGTAACTGCCATTGTTTTTCATACTTTTATAACTATTACAAAATTTAAATACATTTTGGCCTTCCCTTCTTAGAAAATACATTTCAAACTTCCCTTTAATCTCTATATATTAGAGATCCACTTCTTTCATCACACTAATAATATTAAACGGTTACTTAATGTTTTTAAATCGCATGAAAAATTTAATGACAAATATATATAGCACATACGTATTTTTAACAACTAATCCCATTCTTCATGTTTGATGAGACCAGAAAACTGAAATATGACATCTTTATCTAACAATAGTAAATGACTAATTCAACAAAATCATAATACGGGTCTTAATTATCTCAAATATTTAGAGAAATAGTTTCATTTAAAATAAAAAAATTAAATCATATAAACTAAATTTAATATAATTATAGAAAAAGTTAATACACACAAAATTAATTTTATCAATACATAGCGGGTTAAAATATAAACTATTTTATTAAAATTAAAATTTATGTAATAAAATCAGTTTGAAATAAGTTTAACAAAAATTTAGTCATATTTAAAATAACAAAATAACTCATATAAATAATTTAAGATAAATTTCACAAAAGAATTAAAATAAAAATTTATTCAAAATCATAATTTTCATTACATAAACTATATTTTCGATAGGAAATATATCCGCCCTTTTAAGGACGGATCATAATCTAATATGTATATAAATAAATACAGGATACGCACATACTTGCTTTTATCTATGGTGCATGTATTTGGTTGATATATCACTAAAACAATCTGTCACTTCAGATTTTAATCATATATCACATTGGATTAACGATGGTTCATGTTAGTAAAATAATCCACAAAATTATTAAAAAAAATCACTCCTACATTAAGAAGTAACAATACCAGTTACTTGTTGCTAGTTACAGTAATAGCTAGATTGTTGGACTCTTTGGTCAAGTACCACATATTCTAAAAGAATTTTATATCAACACATAAATAAAGTTTAAAACGATTTTAATAACTAAATTAGTGCATGATTAAGACATAGTAGTTGAAGTCGAGGTCTATGTTAGCTTGGGCTGTAATAAACAAAAAATTTTATATTACTTTTTTTTGACAAAGGGCCTTTGAGATTTAATTATATTACTTGCTTTTATTTTTATAACAAGAATTAAATGTAACTTTTGCAGAGTTTGTAAAACTTTGATTGTATACCTAGTTTGTATTTATAATATAGGAGTAGTGGAAACTGGAAACGTTGAATTGCTAATTCAGGTAGTTAGATCATCTCCAATGGCATACTATTTTTTTGTTATATAACTTATATTAAAATGGAGTAATTATATTATAGTGTATATTTTGCTCCAATGGTTGATTATATAATAGAGTTACTTTATTATAAAATGAAATATAGAGTAAGAATCTCTCTAACCCAAACCTATTTTTTTCTTTATAATTTCCACAAAATAAAGTAACTATATTTTAGAGTGATTTTTATTCCAATGGTTCACTCTAAAATAGAGTTATTCCATTACAAAGTAGAAAATAGAGTAACTCTAGTTTAGAATGAACCATTATAGTAAAAATCATTCTAAAATAGAGTTATTTTAGTTTTCTAAAAATTATAAAAAAGAAAATATGTTTGGGTTGGAGATGCTCTAATACCATTACTTCACTCCAAATATAGAGTGAAACATAACATTCCTCTATATTTCACTCTATAATAGAGTAATTCTAATATAGAGTAAACTATTGGATCAAAATTTACACAATGATAGAATTATTCTATTTTAGTTTAAATTATAGAGGAAAAAATAGTGTGCCAATGGAGATACCGGTACTACTATATTTTAGTTCTGTGACAGCACGCCACTGGACTACTCAGCAAAATAAGATAATGTTAATCAAATACCATGTATTTATTTTTATTTTTTGATCAAAATACCATGTATATAATATACCATCCAATAATCTAAAAAAATGTCGCGAACTAGATATTTGACAAATAAAATAAAATTTGTAAACCGACTAATTAAGAAATTATGTCTATGGTACGTTACTGAAAACAATATTTTCTTAAAGCATCACGTTATTACAGTAGTCACCGGACAGGTCACGATCACGTATAAAATGTTGATTACGCGGTTATGAGATCTCTCCCAAATCTTTAACAAAACAATGTTAATAGAAGTTAACTTTTTTTTTTTTTTTTTTTTTGTCAGCTACCCATCATTGCAAGATCAAGTGGTGGTCAGACGAGCCGATCCCCGGAGGGAATTTCCGTGTGACCTGGTCTGATCTATATGGGAGAATATAAAACCTTTCTTCCTTGCTTCCTTTGCGAGTGCGTCCGCACGGCCATTCTTACAACGGGGAATGTGAGACAGGCTCACAACCTCAAAAACTTCCATTGATTGTTGGAGTATCTCAATCTCTGTCGCGAAATTTGGCCAATCCTCCGGGTTGGTCGCCATGTCTACAAGATCCGAACAGTCCGTTTCGATCTGTACCGCTAATATCCTCAAGTCTTGCAGGCACGAAACTGCCCAGAGTAGGCCTTCCATCTCAGCATGCAAGGCTGATCGGCTTCTGTTACATGCTCGTAGTCCGAAGCGTTCAGCACCCATGTAATCCTTACAACTCCATCCTAAGCCACTCACACTACCATTGTCGATCCAAGAGGCATCGATTTGGCAGGTTGGGATTCGGGGAAGCCCAGGGGGTTCTGTCGCTGTCTCTAGTGAAGGAAGCACATGCACCTCCACCTCCTCTTCTTCCTCGCTCTCGTTTGCCTTCCTCCAGCATTCTGCCTCTAACGACGCATGTTGAAGGGTATCCATCGGGGAGACGACTTTCCCGTTGAA